CTTGTCTGCCATGAAGTGACCAACTTCTTCACCTTGGGCTCCCATCACTCTGGTCTTCTGCCTGGACACAGCCCAGAGGAAGGGAGCAAGCACACCTCAGAATGAAACCTCCTCAAATGTGATCCAAGCAAATCTTTTCTCCTTTAGGTCCTTTCAGGCATTTTTCATAGCCACAAAAAGTCCATGGCTAACATATTCTCCTTTGGGTGTTGAAGACTAAACACCAAAGGGGAGAGCATCTTTTGCAAGGCCACACAGGGACTGTACCATCTCTGGGACAACTTCTAGTCATGTCTTAGGATATATAGGCTAATGTTCTTTCCATACTACAGATGAAATGAAAACTGTCTGTCACTTCTGTCTGTGTTTCTGAAGATCCCTTGAAGTTTCTATGGCTGCTTATATTGCTTCCAAGGATGATGGGAGCTATCCATCCTTCAGATTTATTGAATTTAATATTTCCATTTGCATTATCAATATCAAGGAATTCAAAATCCATTCATTGACCATAGATTTCACATGCATATAGATTAAATATTTCTGTCTACTATGTAAATGATATTTTGTTTAATAAAATGTAAACTAATATGTCATTAGTACAATTATAATTGCAACTTTAAAAAATAGTATTGTAAAAAAAATGAGTCTAAGATACTCTGGATATTTTAAAAGAATCTTTAGGACAGAATCTTCCCTAATTTCAAACCCCAATACTACCTGTCCCTCCCTTCCTGTCTCCTACCCCCTATAAAAAAATGATCCTTAACTGGTCTGGTGACATGGTGGCTCATTCCTGTAATCCCAGCTATTCAGGAGGTAGATATTGGGAAAAATCTCTGTCATAGGCCAGCCTCAGGAAAAGGTGTGAATCCAACCTGAAAAGTTAAAGTATGAAAAGGCTGGGAGCATGGTTCAAGTGGTAGTTTGCATGCCCAGCAAGTATAAGGTCCTGAGCTCAAACTCTAATATTACCAACAGTAGAATAAAATGAATCCTTATAATCAAACAACTCCTGAGACACTTCACTCTATACAAGATCTTCTTTTACTGACCAGATTTCATTCTACATTTTGTCTCTTTGTCTCTTTTGTCATATTAAACAAATTAATGATAGCATATAGCAAAAAGAAATAACTGATCAGCAGATAAGGAACAAAGGCAGAGACCAATGAAATGGTGAGTTCCTCTGGGTACCTCATCCCTCAGAAGTGGGACTGGAATTAGCAACTGGTCTTCTGATTAAATTTAATTTAAAAAAATGAGCTCTATATAGAGTAGTTACTCATAACCATTATGAACAATTAAAATATTGAAAGAAATTTCTTTTCGAGCCTCACATTGATTGACCTCCAGTTCTTTGGATCTAGGAAGTCATCATGTTGGTCGATAATAACACTTGATCTTGGATGCTGTAAATTAATATGGAGCATAAAATACAAAGATCAATATTGTGATGTTGAGGAGGTACATTGATTGCCTGTTTGTCCTCAGACTTTTAAATGAAATGGAGAACTGAAGAAACACAGGAATAATTTTTCATAAAGTCCACTTAAGTCGTGGAGACAATGATGGTGAAGGAAAGGGTTTGTATGATCCTGTTAGTGCTTGCTCTCACAGGCTTCTCTGCATCACCCTTTTTTCCAGTATTTTTTTTTCCTGTCTTCTCACCACTCAAGCAGACAGATCTCCTATAATGCTAGGAAAGAGGCTTACTCGTATGTGTGTGTGTGTGTGTGTGTGTGTGTGTGTGTGTGTGTGTGTGTGTGTGTGTGTGTCCCAGTACTAGGGCTTGAATTTAGGTTCTAGGTGCTCTCCTATAGCTTTGTTTTGTTTTGTTTTTCTCAAGGCTAAATGCTCTACAACTTGAGCCATAACTCCACTTCTGGCTTTTTGCTGGTTAATTGGAGATTAGAATCTCTTGGACTTTTCTCCTGAGCTGGCTTTAAATTTGATCCTCAGATGTCAGCTTCCTGAGGAGCCAAAATTATAGGTAGGAGCCACCAGTGCCCCAAATGAGGCTCTTATTCTTGATCTTTTCCATCCACAAAATAGGCCATGGTCAATGCCCTGTTGCTCTTTTATATATTTAATATTTAAGGTGCTTGTACAATGGAGAAAGAAAAGCATAGACTTCAATTTCAGCAATGAGAATGAGAATATCAAAACAGTCCTGAAATGGTATTTCCCAAAGTTTAATTTGTGGAGACATATTCTTGTGATGAAGTCTGAAAACCACAGGTTTCAATAATCAAACCTAATTGGGACTCTTTTTTTTCATTCGGTTGGTCTTGGGCTTGAACTCTGGGCCTGGGCACTGTCCCTCAGTTCTTCAGCTCAAGGCTAGTGCCCAACCACTTGAGCTACAGTACCACTTTCAAACCTATTTGGAAAACAGAACATTCTATATCCCTGCCCTGGAGATTCATAATACATTAAAGGCATACTAAATGCCCAGAGAAGTCTTACACTAAGGTAACTTAATGTAATTTTTCAAATTTAACTGACCTTTAAGCCCATATCTGACTGACACTTTGAGAAATCCTGCATTATAGAATCCTATGTTGTTCCTCTACAGCTTTTCTCTCATTAACATTCATTGAAGGATTTGGAATATCACAGTTCATTATAAACGAGTAGCCACAAGGGGTAGAATAAACTCAAGCAAAGTTCTTCCTCCTTAAATAGAAGTTACCCTATTTCTATGAAACTCCATTGTATAAAGAGTTGGTATTACTTGAATTTATGAAACACTTACCTGTTACTTTTATTACAAAAATATTTTCATTCTGTACTATATGTTATTAAGTAAAAACTAGTTTCCCTGTATCTCATGCTTCTGCATTGTAGCAGTTCTCACTACAGTGAGAGCCTTGCTCACCTGTGAAATAACATCTGCATGAACTCCAAAGTGAAAGATTTCCTGCCTACTTTGATCACATGACAGCCTCTTTAATCTTGTCTGGCAAGAGTTTAAATATTGTTTCAGAATTAATCACTGAAACTAATGCTTTGAGGCTTTTCTCAAATATCAAATAGGAGTCTCAACATTTAACATGCAACAACAAAGACTTTTTCCCCTTCATAATTTGTGTCTCTGTTAGAATTTCATGAGAAATTTAAATTGTGCCAAATTCTTGTTTATGTAATGTGTTCTTATTCTTGTCCTTTTTGTTAAAATAAAGTATTCTTGATTAGCCAAAGAAAATAATTTCAGTATAATGTTCTAATGATATAAACCCAAAGTTTATATTTGGTCAGAATTTATCCTTTTTTATTTTATTTTTTTAAATTTTGTGCCAGACCTAGGGCTTGAGTTCAGAGCCTGGGTGCTATCCTTGAGCTTTGTTTTGCTCAAGACTTGAGCCACAGTTCCACTTCCAATTTTTGATGATTGGAGATAAGAGTCTCAAAGATTTTTCTGCTTGGGCTGTCTTTGAACTGCAGTCCTCAGATCTCAGCCTCCTGAATAGCTAGGATTGCAGGAATGAGTAAGCAGTGCCCCAGTTTGGGCTCAAAAGTAATTCATAGTATCCATATCTATATAATTATAATATATAATTTATAAAGGATATATGTATACATATATACATATTCATTAATTGGAGATAAGGGTCTCAAAGACTTTCCTCCATGGGCTGTCTTTAGACTGCAATCCTTAGATCTCAGCCTTCTGAATAGCTAAGATTACAGGTTTGGACATCAGTGATTCTTATGTTTACTTTCTGGTACCTCAGTGATTCTTTTATGTTATATCATTGAAGATGATGTAATTTGAAAGGTACAAAGCAAGCATTATATAAATTTTAAGTCATCTGAATTAAAATTTGGGTTCTTTCTACTAATGTTTATTCACTTTAAAAAGAGGATGATTTTATTTTGTTTGCTTCCTAAATTTAAAACTTTATGAATATGGAAAATGTGGGTGTAGTTCACAGTGGTACAGTATATTCCTAGCATGGAAAGTATGGGTAAAATCCCTAGTATCCTCAGATACAAAGTTAGTCTATAGAGATTTGTTTTACTTGTACCAGTGTTGGAATTTAGAGCCTCAAGCTTGCTCTACTTGGCTTGTTTGACAGACACTCTAAAATGTGAGCAATACTTCTAGCCTTTTGGCTTGTTATTTTGGAGATGGAATCTGATGGGTTTTCCTGTGAAGGCTGGCCTTGAAATGTGATCCTCCAGAACTCAGCATTCTGAGTAGTTAGGGTTATAGGCATAAGTGATCAGTCCATTACTTTTAGAGATTGTTTTTTAAATAACTCATTGACTGTGTTTTATATGTAAAATAAAAATAAAAAATTCTGATTTTAAGTATTTTTATATATATACATACATACATAGGGAGAAATCAGAAAGTATGGATTATTTTGTAAGAATTTTAATATGTTAAAAATAGGTGATTAATGACCTATTAAAATATGTGTGCCACTACTCCTTATATACTTCATGCTTGTGTGAGGATTGATAGATTGCATTTTAAACTTTCTAGGAAATTTTGGAAATCATTCCTTTTAAGATTACGATGATCTTTTTCACACATATATTTTTCTTTATTATATGCAAGGCCTGAACTTGTCTTATTTACAAGAAAAGTTATGTCTAACATTGCTTCTTCATTCCCAGTTCAACTCACTTGTTCATTTTGCAGGCAATTATTTCTGTTTATTTCCCACCAAGGACTTGCCTTTGCCAGGGTTCCAATTATGCACATCTTATACTATAATCTGTCTCGCGTGGATCTGACCAATAATGATGAAACAATTCACTGGTGGGGAATTCCTTTCCATCGTTATTACCTTCTGGGGATGTTACTTACTTTAGGAGGTTGTATGATCTGAAATCTTTTTACCAAAGAAGGATTTACATCATCAATATTTGTTAGCTTGCCTGTCTTCTGGGCTCCCACACGAATACCTACCACAAATAAAGCACCAATTATGTGAAAAAGTGACAAAATGTTTTGCTTATCCTATTTTTCCTTCCTTTTCCATTCACAGATGTCATCCATACTGTAGGGCCAATAGCCAGAGGCCATATTAATGGTTCCCACAAGGAAGACCTTGCAAATTGCTATAAATCATCTCTGAAGCTGGTGAAAGAAAATAACATCCGATCAGTGGTAAGAACATCTATGTTCCTTATAGGCCTTTACAGCCTTTTTGTTTTAGAAATTGATTGTGTTGGAAAAGAAGTAGGAAACCATTTCCAAAACTTTGAAAACTAAGTTGAACAATCTTGGTAAGTTGCAAAAAGCTTGTTTGGTTCTCATAAGTTTACTCTTCAGTATGTCTTAAAGTTTTTCTAAATGCTTTTCTTGGTTATGTTGGATTTTGAAACTATAGGATTCCCAAACTGGGATCATTTACTTTCTTCTGCTCATGTTTCCATTGATCTCTATTTATGGCTTTTTATTTGCTTTTTAGTATCTTTAAGTAGTTATACAAAGGAGTTTCAATTCAACACTGACTTATTTTTTGAAGGCAGTAAAGATGGTATGAGGCACCAAAATATTTAAACAAGGAAAATGCCAGTGGTGAATTTATTATAAAACTGTAAATTTATTATATATTGGCAGTAAGTTACATGTACATATACTTGTGACTATACATGCTACTTCTATAATTATTCATTTCTTAGAAATTTACTCCATGTGTGCTTTTAGCTGAACATTGTTATTTTTTCTAGATTCATTTTACCCATCTTAAACTGTATTGCAAAGTATGCCACATCCCTTCTAAATTTTATCAATATAGACAGAATTCAGAAAATGTGGCTCTAATCTATTTCCTTAACAGTAGGCTGAGATGAAAGCATCTCTCTTCTTAACTGGATTTGAGGTATTTATCCAACTGCTTTCCTTTTGCAGCATGTTCTAATGTTATTATGTCTCAATTACACTAGGAAAATAAAACTATGGGAATAATGGAGTGTAAATAGCCAATAGTAAGTTAATTTGGCAAGTATCCCTTGGTTTTATTTTATTTTTCACAGATTATAACCTTATGGAAATTGTGGAGCAGAGAGAAATTTAAACAATTCATAGTTGGCTGACTAGATCACCTTTATTTGAGAGTTCACAAAAATGTGATTGTATTGTTTGCAAAGAGAAACACTGGGAATCACTCACATTTAAACAACTCTAGCAGGCTGGGAAGGTGGCTCAGTGGTAGAGCGCTTGCCTTACATGCATGAGGCCCTGGGTTCAATTCCTCAGCACCACATAAGCAGAAAAAAAAAAAGCCAGAAGTGGTGCTGTGGCTCAAGTGGTAGAGCGCTAGCCTTGAGCTGAAGAGCTGAGGGACAGCGCCCAGGCCCAGAGTTCAGGCCCCACGACCGGACCAAAAAAAAAAAAAGAAGTGTTTTTATTAGCACTGGTGAGTTCTCTGAAAATAAGAAATCTTTTTCATAGTTAATTATAGCCCTTTTAATCTTTGCATAATTAATAAGAGAACTTGATATTTTATTTTGCCTTTTGATTTAAAAAATTTTTAAATTGATTTCAAACAAATCAATACATAAGATTTTGTTCTGCCTTAGAGAGCAGAAAGCTGAAGTTCAGAATTTAAACCAGAATTTATTCTTTATAGAAAATAAGGAAAATTGAAACAGGTGTGCACATTCAGGGAATAATTAAAGTTTTGTCAGTATGACGTATTTATTTTTAAAAGACAAGGGGCTAAAGTTCTTGGGAAAAAAAGAATATGTACAGAAGTTTCCAACTTGGAAAAACAGATTTTTCTTAAATGAAGAGAACTTGCTAATGAATTTACTAGAATCACTAATAATATAGATTGAAAAACCAAAATCAAACTAAGGCTTACATTTGAAAGACTATAAAAATGGCAGTATTGTGTTAATAATAAAATATTCCTAACTATAATCATCTTAAGTAATTGTTCCTGTTTATAATACTACTTACTGCTATTAGATAAGGGGTGAGAATTAGGGACTTGGTTAACTTTCATTGCATGGTGTGTACATGAACTGAAGAGTACTTTATCATTCTGTGATTTGAATTTGGTCTAACTTACCATCTTTGATGTTAATTTTGAAAGATCACTTATATATTACTTAAATCAGGTTAGCAGGTGATATTGAACTGAATTAATTCTAATATTGGTAAATAAAAATAGAGATGGAAAATATGTTTGAAATATGAAGTAAAATGTCCATTATGTTCTTGCATGGTTGGCCAGAGCTGTGATTAAATGTCTCATTTCTTATTTTAAAATAATCCTTCCTTCCTTCCTTCCTTCCTTCCTTCCTTCCTTCCTTCCTTCCTTCCTTCCTTCCTTCCTTCCTTCCTTCCTTCCTTCCTTCCTTCCTTCCTTCCTTCCTTCCTTTCCTTGTTCTTAAGGAAGCAATAGGGCTTTCTGTTCAAGTTGATGTGCCATGTTCTTAACTACCATTAGTTAAACATAGTGCTAAAATCACCAAATTCTCACTAGTTTGAGGTGAGGAAGATTCTAAATGTGGAAAAATGTTTTACAACATAGACTTGTACTTGGTAAACTTGCCACAATAGATGTGTAGGTGTGGTTGCTATTATTCATGACTATAAAGATAGAAAATGAATTCAACTTTTATTTCTTTATAATGAAGAAAACGTTTTTAAACATCAATTCAAATGTCTTAGTGATCATTCCTCCAGTAATCAGTGTGTGACTATGGACAAGTAATGTCAAAATTTTGTAGTCTTAGTTTCCAGATTTTTTTTGTCAGTTGTGGGACTTGAACTTGAGGCCTGGGTGCTGTCCCTGAGCCTATTTTTGCTGAGGGCTAGTCTACCAACCACTTGAGCCACAGTGCCACTTCTAATTTCTGAGTGGTTAATTGGACATAAGAAGTCTCACTGGGACTTTTCTTCCTTGGCTGCCTTCAAACTGGGATCCCCAGATAACAGCCTCCTGAGTAAGTAGGATTACAGGCATGTGACACTGGTACATGGGTTCCCAAATACATTCAGTTAGAAAATTGCTACTGTTGTCTATGCCTGTTTAACTCAAAAGGCTATTGTAAGATTCAGTTGAGATAATGAATGTAAGATAATTGATAAAAAAATGGATTTTTGTATAAAAGTATACACTGTAAGTTTTTCTTAAACTTTACCACTTTGTAATTTGAGACATGCATATCATTCATGCTATGATATATAATCTGTATGGCATCATTTCTTAATGCTGTGTGTGTGTGTGTGTGTGTGTGTGTGTGTGTGTGTGTGTGTGTGTGTGTGTGTGTGCGCGTGTGTGCACGCATGCACCAGTATCATGGCTTGAACTAAGGGACTTGCCCTTGCACTTTTGGCCAACCTTTTCACTTATAGCTCTACCACTTGAGTTACTCATCTAGTCATTTTCCTGCTTAATTAGATCTATTGTCTCATGGACTTTTCTTCCTGAGATGGCTTTGAACTGTGATTCTCTATATCTCAGCCTTCTAAGTAACTGGGATTACAAGCATGAACAACCAATATTTGGGTATTTCTCAATGTTTTAAAGCCAAAATAAATTATAAAATATAAGCTTCAGTTAGTAAGTCATATATAGTTAGGCAATTACAACTATTGCTAAAATTCTTAATGTCATCTTAATCATAATCCTGAGTAGTATAGTGTTACAAATTGCCAGATCATTAACAATAGCACAGTTTGCTACTCCATAGATGAAATGAATTAAATTACATTAATTGTACCACAACCTGTAACTTGGTGACTTTCAACCTTTTACTTGTAAATTTGTAATCTAGTTTCTAATCTTTGAAAATATCATCACATTATGCTTTCTTTCTTTCTTTTTTTTTTTAATCTGGTCATGGGGTCTGAACTCTGGGCCTGGGCACTGTCCCTCAGCTCTTGGCTAACGCTCTACCACTTGAGCCACAGCGCCATTTCCAGCTTTTATCTGCTTATGTGGTGCTGAGGAATCGAACCCAGGGCCTCATGCATGCAAGGCAAGCGCTCTACCACTGAGACACCTTCCCAGCCCCCTCTGCTTTCTTTCATTATGTATTGCTTGGTAGGATAGTTATGACAATGAGTGAACTGTCAATAGTTAAGTTGGGATAGCAGACATGTAAGCAAGCAGCTATGAGACATGACAAGTACTGTGATGGCATACATTAATTTGTTCTGTATCAGCTAGGTTGTGCTATGGCTACATATAACCACAAAATCACTGGTTGATGGGCAGTTCATCATATACATGTCCGCTCTGAAATTCTTAGCTTCCTCAGTCACAGAGCAGATAATGTGCAAACTCATACATGCATTTTTACTGCCCCTGCATAGAAGGGATGCATGTAATTCTGATCATTTCATTGGCCAAACTGTTCACAAATTCATACCTACTTTCAAAGGGGCCAGGAAATTATCCAGGTATTAATAAACTGTTCAATTGGTACTATTTTTTCCATTGAAGTTGAAGTCTTCATGATCACAGCAGAGGGATCTGAGAAATCTATTTTAACTCTAATTTTACTAGAGAAATAGATGAATATGAAACAGATACTATCATTTATTTGTTGAATAATCACTAGTAGGTATGTATTAGTATTATTTGTTAGTAATGCCATAACATTATTAGATAGCTTCTAATACTTGGAGAAACAATTACTATCTTCAAACAAACGCCTCAAGCCATTGTATGATTTGAGGGTGACCTATAATTCATTAGTTTAAACATCTTTCCATGGTTGCCTGAAATTTCATAATTAATGAAGAGTTTGTAGTGGTCAGGTATTGTTACTTTTTTGTGATTTTCCATTCAGTGCACATACTCCACTGATAATTAATTTCCTACTACTTTGTACATCATTTTTCACTTTGGTGGAAAATTAGGAGCATAGTAGCTATTTTAAAAATGCCTGTACTGATGAAACCTGGTGCTCACAGTTTACATTCTTTGAGTGATGACATGCAATATGACATTAGATGTTTTATTAAAGAAACAATTATACTCTGAATATCAGGCCGATTTTATTTAGATGTAAGATTATGTTCTCGTGGCATATAACTAACCATTGATATATCCATTTAGTGATTGTATTGGATATGGCAGGCTACAAGTGAATGTTTGTTTGAATGATATATGTTACCATAATTTTCCCAAGAGCATCATGCTA